GGAGATAGGAGCCTGGAAGGGAGATATGGGTTTGGAGTGGAGATATGGGCCTGGAGTGCAGATATGGACCTGGCGGGGAGATATGGGTTTGGAGCAGAGATATGGGCCTGGAGTAGAGATATCAGCATGGAGTGGAGATATGGGCCTGTTGTGTAGATCTAGGCCTGGGGTGCAGATCTGGATCAGGAGGCTGGGTCTCTGCACAGCTGAGATCCCTGCTGCGGGGGCAGGTAGGCAGCCAGGGTGAGTTTACCTTCAGCCCAGCAAGGGCCTGGCTGCCCAGACGCACAGCCCAGTGAGGGCAGCAGGGGAGGCCCTGGTTTGCCTGCAGATGGATCATCCATCATGATCTTTCTTTCCAGGGTTCTTCTTGGTCCAGAGGGCCTGTCCGTACACGGGTGAGTCCTTCCCCAAACCTTAGGGTGTCATCTCCCCACCTAAGAGGATTTTCCTGAAACAGGAGGGAAGTCCTGTCAGAGAGTGTCTCATAAACTAAGAAGGGGGGACCCTGGGGTGCTCGGCTCACACTTCTGACCTCGTCCTCTCTGGCCTTTCTTACCGTTGGCTGAGTCAAGCTCTGTGAAGACCGGGGTGAGCTCGGGGTGCTCCAAGCTGAGGTGTGCAGGGAGGAAGTGGTGTCAGCGGCTGAGGAAGGGAGGGAAGCAGTGCTAGGAACAGCAGGTCCTCTGAGGACAAAGGTGTCACTCACACCCTCCAGTGTTTGCATGACGGTCAGGGCTGCAGTGTGGCTGCTGTCATTCTACCAGAAGAGGTGGGGAAACCACAGCCATGACCCTGACATTCCAAATCTCTGATAGGGACTCAGTTCATGCACTGGCTGATGTTCCATTCACAAAGGACACGCCCTCCATGCCGTCTCTACTTTGTATTGTTTTATGTGAGTAATCTTGAAGTGTTAAAATCTAATAAGAGTCCCTTATTAAGCACTTGTTCAAAGTTCTCAGCTGACACCTTTGTTGTAGGGAGGCGCCATGTCCATGCTGCATAGGTTCTTCCTGTAGACCTGGACACCCAGGTGTGGTAGAAGCCTTAGAAACATGGAAAGGGGAAGAATCTTCTGAGCACAGGGAGGGAGGGGCGACTCCACATCCTCCTCTCTAAGGTGGCGCCTCCTTCTCCCCCAGGTGATCAGGACAAGACCTTCCTGTTTGCCCGGCCCAGCGCTCTGGTGCCTCAGGGAGGACACGTGACCCTTCGGTGTCACTATCGTCGTGGCCTTTACAACTTTACCAACTTCACTCTGTACAAAGACGACAGAAGCCACGTTCCCGTCTTCCACAGCAGAATATTCCAGGAGAGCTTCCTCATGGACCCTGTGACCCCGGCACACGCAGGGACCTACAGATGTCGGGGTTCATACCCGCACTCCCCCACTGAGTGGTCGGCACTCAGTGAACCCCTGGCGA